ATAATCAGGCTCAAGCTCCTGTACTATAGTACATGGTCTTGAGTCAAATTTTGCCAAAATTAAAAAGGAGAGAATTTGCTACTTTTATAACTTTATCTGATATATATACATGTACTTATGTTGTGTAGAAAGTTTGAGCTGATTCCGATCAAATTTGGATTTTTTATGAATTTTTAAAGTTGCTCAAAAATCAGGTCAGAGTCCCTGTACTATAGTACATGGTCTCGGGTCAAATTTTGCCAAAATTGGAAAGGAGAGAATTTGCCATTTTTATAATTTTATCTGATACATATACATGTACTTATGTTGTGTAGAAAGTTTGAGCTGATTCCGATCAAATTTGGATTTTTTATGAATTTTTAAAGTTACTCAAAAATCAGGTCAGAGTGGGAAACCAAGATAATAGTCATTCACACTTACATATCTGCCAACAAACTCATTCAATCGCTTCATAAAGAAAGTTGCTATTAGTCCACTGAAGTATATTACCAATGGAATGATAGCAACACTGGACTGCAACAGAGAGAGAGAGGAGAATATGTTATATGACAATAAAGACTACATGTACTTATTTTTATAGGCTTACCCTGTACATTTTTAAAGAGTCAATCATGTACAAAGGACTATAGACTTGGGTTAGATTAACTATCAGTCTGCTAGACATATATATGAGAGCAACCTGCATGAAAACGAAAGACATAAATACATTTTAATTTATATTCAGTCACAATAGACATAATAAAACACTGAGAAAAGATTGTGTTATGACTACAAGTCATTGTATGCTGTATATGAACACTGAAAGTTGGCAGGTGAAGTAATAAAAGTATATAAAAACTGTGTTCATTGCAGGTGTTCACTTATTAATGAAAAAACAATAAACTCTCTACACCGTTAAAAACTAGTGTCTACTTGTACATGCATTTCACTCTGGATGTTCGTACCAGATAAAACTTTGGATTTAAGAACCAGCGATACCAAGGCAACCGATTGTTAGTGAGCTGATCACCAGCTGCCGAACCATGACCTCCATTAGAGGGCTCCTTGGTACCAACATGAAACATGAACACAAATGATAAACCAACCACGATAATACCAAGAGCAGTCCCCTAGAAAAAGAGCAATAATTAAAGTCTTTAGGCAGAGCACCTTTTAGTGCATACAATACTCAGTAGTGTGAACTAGTGAATACAATAATGTAGTGTGAACATATTTATTATAGGAGTCATAGATGCACATGATCTATGAATATACAATAGTATATCCCATTAGGATACTATGTAAAGATAACAGTATCAAAAGTTTCTGTATAATAGTTATTTCACATGATGCCCAGCACACTGTTACATAATAGGACTAACTGAGAATAGCCACTGGTCATTGGGTGTTATCTGACTCGATTTATTGACCGATGATAGGATGACAAGAACTACTATAAAGACACCTGAGTTAGATAAAATAAGAGATAGATAATAATTAGATAGATAAGAGGCTACATGATGGAGCAAGAGTCTTAATTCCCTGTACATGGAATGTGGTAAGAAGACATGTGAGATCTATTAATAGCAGTAATTAGTATATTTATTTTTGCCAAATACTGTATTTAATGTAAATCAACATAATGCTATTTCTGTTTTTGTATTACTTTTTATTTCTCCCTCTAGTGATTTTTGGGGTGTTTTTTGTGTTGGGATATTCAGTCATCCTTGTCTGATCAGAGAACTTTATCAAGGTCTTTGTTTCTGCTGTGGCTCTAAGCTACCAGAGAGTGTAAGTGTATAAAAGACTACTATATTTATACTGAAATATGCTATAATGTACCTTAAGCCTACTATTTTTAGCGTCTACT